GGGGGGGGGAGGGAAACAGATAGTACCGAACACACTTTTGTAGAGTAAAACAACTACTATCTAGGCCTTTGAGGGGCAAAAGGCCCCTTCCCCTTGTATCCACCAGTGGATCGAAACGTCTTATCTCATCATTTTCTTGTCCCCTAAATCCCTTCAGCCCCTTTAACTTCACTTTTTTTTCCGTCCATTTCGATTTTGCCATAGCATCTTGCACGAAAATAATCAAACGAGTTAATTTTGTCTTGCACAACATGTAGGCGCATCCTATTAGCAGAAAAGCTTAGAATCGTCGTTAGTTTGATAATAATGATGTTTGCTAGCACTGCAATAATGTAAAATTGCTTTTTGATTTAAATTTTTTATTGTGAGATTTCACTTATTGATTGTAAGGAATGCAGATTTGAAAATTTCAGGCTCCTCAAACAGGAAAACTCTCGCATACGGCGAATTTTCGAGCTCTGATGAGGAAAATTTACATTCAGAAAGCAAAAAAACCCAGAAATCTACACAAGTTGAATCCAGGAGAGGCAAAACTTGCCGTGATAACGAATTCTCAAGCTCTGATGGCGAAAAGAATTTGCACGAGCTGCAAAATCATCAGAGCCCAAAACACGATTTTCATGCTAAATCGGATAAAGGCGATAACGAATTTTACGGCGATAACGAATTTTCAAGCTCTGATGAGGAAAATGAGGAAGATTTTCAAGCTTTGCATTCCGAAAAGAAAAAAATCCAGAAACACACGTTTAATGAATCCAGGAAAGACAAAACATGCGATGATGACGAGTTTTCAAGCTCCGATGGTGAGGAAGATTCACGTGTACCAGAAGTTCACCTGGGCCAGAATGGGACTTATACTGAATCTGATGAAGGCGAAATACACGGCGATGACGAGTTTTCGAACTCTGGTGAAGAAAATCTTCATTCCGAAAACAAAAAAATCCAAAAACATATGCATAATGAATCCAGGAAAGAAAAAACATGCGAAAATAGCGAATTTTCAAGCTCCGATGGTGAAGAAGATTCACATGTACCAGGACTTCAACTTGCTGTATTCGATAAAGGCAAACCATGCAGTGATGACGAATTTTCAAGCTCCGGTGATGAAGGGAACTCAAAGTTTTTGCGTGATCACCAAGGCCTGGAACATGGTCATTTTGGATTTGGTGGAGGCGAAATTCAGGAACTGGGCGAATTTTCAAACTCGGATGGTGATGAAGGGAATTCGAAGCCTTTAGAAAGTCGGCAAGATTCGGAATACGGCGATATTGGA